GAACCTTGGTTTATTAGTTTTCAATATCCTAAATAACTGAAAAGTCTACCAAAACTATCATGCTGCTCTTCATCATAGTAAACATCAGTATGATTTGAAGAAAACTAAGTTAAATATTGCAGTTTTTGATTTTTTTTTTTCTGCAGCTCTTACATTGGTATCGAGAACGAGTTAATATAAATCTGAAAAGAAAAGAAATCATGAAGAAAAAGGATATCAGTCAACGAATAAAAAAATAAAAAATAGACCAGAATCGAATCATCGTTGAGGTATAAGTTTTGAGCTAAAAATACATTTAAAATCTCACTTGCAAAGTGTACAATGTACACTGTGCTTTTTAAGATAAGTGTCCAGCAGCGTGTATTTTCAAACCTTCAAATGTTTGTACATTTTACTTCTGATGTGTACACCTGCCATTAGAAATCCTGGTATGGAACCACGCCGATAACTTTCCAATTCATTTTTTGAATGGTTATGTTAAATTATATTCCAATCTTAGAAAAGAGAAGTCCATTCTAGCAAAAATCCAAAATTTGCCACCATTTTTATTTCTCTTGTGAGTGTAGATTCTATTTCATAATGATCGAAAAGCTTGAAACGAAATAAAGAAGAAGGGATAAAATGCAAATCAAATGTATCTCAGCTAAATTGCAAATTGTTATCACTTGTTTATTTGTTATGGGCACAAAAAAAAAAGATTTTTCATTTATATCATCATCTTCTCAATCACCAGTAACTATTACATCGTCATCAATAGTTTTTTTTCATATCGTATTCTCTTAACATACATTCGGTCTTGCTCATTATGATTTTCAATAGCTACATCGTAATATAATTAGCAAAAAACTTCATATCCCAAACACCCGGTCACACCATTCGAGTTTCCCGGTTATTTACGGCCTTTCTTACAAAAATGTTTACGATGTCCAGCCATATATATTTAAGGACTAAATTTCATTTCCGAACATTTGGTCACATGTCTCGAAGATTTGGAATGATCCGAGACGAAATATACGTGATTCATAAAAGTGTTGTACGTTTTCATGAAATAAACAATATTAGTTCAATAAAAAACAATTCCCTTTACTAACTTGCATTGGATAAAAAAATAAACTGTTATTTATTCAAATTTATTTCAATTCTATGAAAAATATCACTTGTTTATGAAAATTAAAAGAACCAATTTACTATTTTCATTTTGTTTTACACTTTAATCATAATTGAAATTATTGGATACATTAGTGGTAGCTCAATAAAACTATTATTATAACACATATATCATTTGAACTATATATATCTCAAAACAATTTAACATTTTATACAATCTGATCAGTCCTTAAAAAGAAAATCGATTTTTCTTCTATTTACAAGATATTTTTCATACTTTTATAATTTTGACATAGAAATCATCAAACGTAAGTTTTCTATCATTCTAACATAAAATCTATACCTAAACCATAGTTTGTTACATGTAATGAATATCCGAAGAAAATAATGTACCATCTCGATTTGATTTAATCCATCAAAGTCTCTTCCTACTTTGTCGAAGAACGATATTGAACATGTTCGTTCTTTTAGGATCAAGTATTTGTTCAAGTGAATCACTATCGACAACAATAATTAATCTCGAATCTATTGGATACGTCTTCCTCTTAGATCAACAACAAAGTCGACAGTTTTGTAGAATAAAACTATTCGTATCGAAATCAGATATCAAAAGATTGATTTTTGTCGCAGAACCCGTTATTATAAAAGCCTAATATTTTACAAGGAACTATTTTGCTGCAATATCATATTTGATTCGAATGCTGGTGATATTCATTAATTAAACAAGGTATAACATCGAATATGAAGAATTCCCATGAATAAATCTTCAATTTCAATATTCCACATATAATATCATTGAAAAAAATTACAAAAAATAGAGAAGAGAGAAAGATTATTTTTATTCCTTATGAATTTCACAAAGAGAACATTTTTCTTTCTCTTCTTTGTTTTTTTTATTACTATCATTTCAATCTTGTCTTTTTCCAAGTAAACCGATCCCACTGAGACGTTCTGTGACTATTAGATAAAAATCGATGAGTTCTTATGATATTTAGAACATAAACTAGAAACCAAAGACAGAAAAGATGAATTAATCTCAGTTTAATAATTTTCTCATTATTCATTTAGATCGCTGATCGTATTCCAGCACTTTGTCTTTCAAAAGACGATGATACACCAAATCAAATTTATCTTTTTGTATCCAAATCTTTGAATTTTCCTGAATTTGTTCCATTAAAAAAGATCATCTTCTTTGTCTACTTCATTTCGATTTGATAAGTTTTCATTTAAAATTGCATCGAAAAACATTACATGATATTTTTAACCGTATTTGGTTTCCATCTGAATACATGCACTTTCAGGTCGATTTAAATTTTGCTGATGGATATGAACTTGGTACCCCAATAATTTGATCAAAATCCATTGAATATTTATTCATTAAAAATCTTTCATTGAATTCTAATAAATTAATTCCATTATTTTGATTTACACCAAATCTTTGACCTTTAACTATTTCAATAATTATCGGAGTTGAAAATATTCCGATTTTTTATGCTAGTTTTTCTTGATAATAAACAACGAATAAATGAAATTGTAGATTCATATCAAATTTCACTTTAACTTAATGAACGACAATGGTATATTCGATGTGGTTGGAAATCAGAAAATAAAAAAACTCTGTATTTTATTTTATACTTTGCTTTATGCTTTTCCTATTTATACTTATGTTACAGAAAATTTCGATGGTCGTACTAAATCAACATGTTCTGATGAAAATGACTATGGTCTTATCATAGTATACCTAAATTGACTCAACACTATTCGGTATCTTAAGTAGAGAATAAAGAAGAAATTGAATTAATTAATTTTGGTAAAAATTTAGTTACTAGTACATCATGAAGCTAAATACATTCTATGAGTATATCTAAATTCAACACCATACCTATTATTCCTTTTCACGATGTAATTCTTTCAATTTTTGCTTATGAAAGTCTAATACAGATACTTTACGATTCAATACTAGATCTTATTTTTTTGTTCAGATATGTCAAAAGAGCAAATCATTCTGTATACTTTTAAATATTAATAACATTCATTCTTTAACCGATCTATTACTGTTGGCATCAAATAAAGTTAATTTACTTTATTTGAATTTGTATTTATTTATTTTTCATTATAATAAATATCGTGGGATATAGGTTAACAAAAGGACAGGATCCATATCATCATTCCCATACACACTCTTCACCCTTGACATTCAATTGTGGAGATATGAATCTTGGCATCCTTTTAGAACACTTATACATATCTTATTATATATACAAATAGTTATTTATAATAAAAAGTTGTAACTACTAGGTAATTTTAAATAAAAGCTAAGTAAAAAATTTAATTCTTGCCAAAGGATTTATTGAAAATAATTTTAAAGACAAATATTTTTGCTAAATTTTTTATTTTAATTCTAAGTAAACAAATTTGATTTTCTAGGCAAAATATTGTAAATCTCTAGATAAAGAGACACAAATATCTAAGGAAAAAATTAAATATACAATTATGGTATTAATAGAGCTTTTGTTGCTTTTTATGATCATCCTTGTTTTCTTCTGTCACTCAAAGGTATCTCCTTTGCTGATGGGATGATTTACAAAGATTCAATCTAAGTATCATACCAATACTGTGTTTTTGTATTCTGATGTCTTGTCTGATAAAGTTACTTTCCATTCTAAATTGAAGATCTTAAAAGTAATCAAAGGAGATGCATTTTTTCTTATGTGTTTTTGAATTTCATTTGGTGCAACATTTTATGTCTCACCAGATGGTACAGTGTAACCAGTAAAACCTTTTATTTTAGACGATATTTATAATACTGGTTTTTAGGATTTTGAAAAATGATATATATCAGACTAATTTCTCCGTATAATTGTTGATTCTGAGATTTATTTGTCTTTTATCCAGTGAAGTTTCTTCCTTAACTCTTTTCTTTTCTTGAATATCTTAGTAATCAATATCCATTTCATTATCCGATGCTAATGATGTTTCATATCGTTGCGAATAAAACACTACAAATCATAAAGAAATAGCGGAGGGAAAAATGGTTCTACTGGAATATCTTCGAACAAAAAGTGCAAGTATTCATACATAACAGTAAAATGAAGGAAAATATACGTGAAACATACATATGTCATGGTGTTACGTCAATACTAACAGAAGGAGAGTAAGAGAGAAAATGTATAGGTCGTACCAACATAAAAAAATTCTTCTGATCTTAGATAATTGTACTTTATCTTTATTCGAAACGACTTAGTAGTAATCATTTTTACTGACCATTTAATTTCTTTTATTAAGCAGATACAAATTCTACTTGGTAAAGGTCAAGTTAGCACTTTAATATTTTTATTTAACAAACAATTTATAGCCAAAAAGTATTACATAAAAATATCTTTAATGCATCTAAAAATAAAGTGATATTCGGAAACAGCTATTTTGAATATTGTCCCATTTTCGATTCTTACGAGAAACGAGAAGAAAAAAATTGTTCTCTGATGACACTGATGAATAATCTAAATGCGCATTTTTTTCCCAGATGGGCGTGATGAAAGATAGATCATAGGTCACTTATATTGGGTTTCATTTTAACCAATAAGATGGTAAATCGAAGTAAAAATCCATAAAAAAGAAAGAAAGTAATAGAATACTAATGAATAATCGTTTCTACTGAATCAACTTTTGTTTATGCTTGTTATTATACTTGTTGCTTAGTTTATTATCCGATGTTGCACAATCTATGAATCATTTTAGAAATTCTTTATATATAGAGAAGAGGGTCTATAAATACCAGCAATGTTGGAAATTCATTTATTTTTCCCATTATCGTTGTCGATTAAAAATCCGTTGTAATTGCCAATAAAAATCAGTGTTGTCATTATCTGATTGATACTAAAATCGAAAGTATGATGGCATCTAAAATCAATAGTTCAATAAACTTGAGTGCTTGTGTCGGATTGGGAGAGACCGTAGCTGCCAATGTTCGGAATAGCATAAAAATAGAACATGATCGACTTGATCTTTATGCAGGCAAAGATTTTTTTGATGATGAAAATTTTCGAGCTGCTCTTGAACGTATGAATGGTGGTTAGTGTTCGTGTTTTTCTTTCTTATTTCCCAAATTCTCACGGTATTCATTTTGATTTATTCTTTTTTTTAAGGCTATGATATCGCTCAAGATCTAATTCACATGTTAGAAGATTATTGTCAAATCGATCTAAATCATGTTCAAAATCTCTTATCATTCAGTCGAAAATGGATTAAACATATAAAAAATCAACCCATAATCTCATCGTATCATACAACTAAACGTGCTCAAATTGATACAATCCATATTGCAAAAGATCTTGCATATATTGATGATAATCGTTGCAATGCTTTGCAAGATATAATTAATAATTATCGTAGACTTATCGATGAAACTTACATGCGTGTTCATTTCACACGTCGTTATGAACATTGTCGATATCGTGAATTCAAAAAACTCTTCAAACATGCTCACATTTCTGTAGTTAATGCAAAAACAAATCTCGACAAATTACGTGATCAAATTCATCGCATAGAACAGACTATTCTGAATGCAGATAAAAATTTTGAAAAAATGTCAAATGATGAAGTTACTAATGAAAAAAACCTAATGAAAAAATCAATTATTCATACCAAATACGAAACTGAATTAAAGCGAATTGAAGCAAAAATGAAAAAAGCTGAAGAAATCTATATTAATACTAAACAAGAATATCGAAAGAAAGCAAAAGAGATTTTTTCCCAATGTCAACAAATTGAAAAACAACGTCTGGAACAAATTCGAGAAATTCTTCTTGTATTTATTCGCACGATGCATATACGAAATTATGTTTCTGAAATCGAAAAAATCTATGATGAACTTATCACCAATATCATTATTCAACAAAATCCATTGGCAGATTTGATTTTTTGGGCACACACCTATGGTATTGACGACAATGAAAATATTTTAGTTCCTTTGTCAAATGTCGAATTGCAAACAACGATCAACGATGAACTCCGAATTACAATTGCACCTACAACGGTTGAAAGTAGTGTCATAGATGACAGCGATGAAGAGCACAAATCTAAAGATAAACAATAATAAATGCCAGCAACCATTAGTCAGAACTTTAATGATCTTGAATGATAAGACGAAAGCTTGCAACATTGAATCTACTCTAGAAAACAAAGATGTATCTAATATACAATAGAGATATATGAATAAATGTTAGACGTTATGGATGTGAGGGGAGGGGTGAACTGGAGTGTGTTTGAGGCTATGACTCTTCTCTTATACACATCCATATTCAAGTCGTAAAGTTTAAAAATTATTCTTGAAGATTGACAAAGGAGAAAATTGATCAATAATAAAATGTGCTTTGGGTCAGACATTCCGATTTTAATCTTATTACTTAGACAGGAGAAAACCCACTCACACCCACATCCGAGACGTCGATTTCTCATAAATTTAACTAGTATAGACTGTCGATGTGTTGATATACATCGAAAAATAATGAGGAGATGTTAACAATTTTTGAATCTTACGTGATTTATCATAAAATATAGAGGTATCGAATTTCATGTTCATTGATAAATATATTTAAGCGATATTGCTATAACAATAATAGCTACACTATGTTTCGTCTTGTGTTCTTCACTATTTCAGTGTCTCTAGAAAATCTCGTTTCAAACGCACCGAAGAAAAAAATCGAAATTTCAATGCTCGAAAATGTGATATAGAAAGGTAAAACAACAATTACATGTTGACAAATAGTTAAATATCAAGATTTTCGTAATCTCCAATTTCCTTTTTGGAAATTACTGATGAAATTTGACTTATCCTATTAATTTCAAAAAAAAAATAATCTATTCCAGTATTCTCGTGTTCTGATTACAAATTTTTAAAGAATGAAAATCAATGTGAATGTAGATGTTTCCAACCATATGTTCAACTCAACTTCGTCAACAGCACGAAAAAAATTAAGATAATGTTTTTCGTTCAACGTATACGGTGATTGTTTATTGTTGAGCTTCTATTAAAATAAAGAGAAAATATGTTATTGATTCATAAAATTCATCTTGAAGAAAAAAAAACAATTCTTTATTATACCGCAACTAAATAGTTGATAAAAAACATCAAAGAAAACACTTGATACCCACTAAGCGGGTGGGTGTGGGTGTGGGGTGTGGGGTGTGGGTATGGGTGTGGGTGTGTGGGTGTGGGGTGCGGGTGTGGGTGTGTGGGTGTGGGTGTGGTCATGGAAGTGAAGATCGCAAGCACACCCACCCACACCCACACCCACTCCTTTAAAAATAAAAATTTTGGAATACCTAAAATGATTTTCAAGTCGTATTTTTTATTTTCAATTTAACAATAATTTAGCTTCTTAATAACATCCTGCAAGATATCAGTGCTTATGAGACTTTATCTTCTGTAAACGAATATAATGAGAATAAACAATATCAGAAACCCTTCGAAAGCAACATTGATAAATTAGATCATTCTTAACATTCGATTAAAGGAATCAAGCGAGACAGATTCTGAAATAATACTTATATACTCATATTTGGAAGCAACCAGCAAGATCCACTAGAAGCCATCAGAAGTCGTAGGAGCCGCTGAGAGCCACCAGGAGCCAAGGAGCCAGGAGCCGCTTTTCCCCCCTTGCTGCAAACGCTCCACACAGCATAGAATACCGATCATAATGTCTGCAATACAGACGAAAATCCCCTTTAAAACGATAAAAATTTAAAAAAATTCTAAGAATTTCATTCGAACATACGCCTACCATTCGCTGTAACATGTGGCTGAAACAATCAAAACTTTCATGAAATTACAAATAAAAAGCCATAGATCTCAAAATACTTAGAAATCGATGAAATCAACCATTCAAAAGTCAAGAATAATCAACCATGTAGATATGAAAAAATTCATACATGGTAACTCCTAGAATTTCATGACATGAGTCGTTCAAATGTTTAGAATTTTGAACCATGCATATATAAAAAAATTCATGTATCGAAACTCCTAGGAGTTGACGATATGTGCCGTTTAAACGTTCAGAAGTTTGAAACATGTAGACATTAAAAAAATAGCTTAACAAAACTCCTAGAAGTTATTCATATCAGCCGTTTAAACGTTTAGAATTTTAAGCTATGGAAGTTTGAAAAAATTTATATCTCAAAACTCCTCAAACTCGACGAAACTAGCCGTCTAAATGATTACAATCTACTGTAAAAAAGATGTCCGAAATATTTGCTGCTTCACTATGTTGAAATATTGAGGCGCCCATGGTTTAAACACTTAAATTTTTGGAACGGTTAATCTAACAGATATGTGGCGAGAATAACGTCCAATATGCCTAACTTTGAAGCGTGAACATGATCAGTAATTATCGCAGAAACTCGAATCATATCAGTATTGTGGAAAATGCGCAAAAAAAACAACTTTTTGATGCGTAAAATAAGTTTTACGAGACAATGAACGTCTACACGCTTTTAAAGCCAGCTTTCGAGCTGCTAAAACGTGTGTAAATATTGAACAGAAAAAAACTATACGTTTCCACCGGTGGAATTTAAGAATTCTGAGTGTTTACAAGTCCATCTTTTTTCTGACGCGTGTAAACGCTTGAAAAAGTCAATTTTACGGTGTGTACACGCGTTTTCTCAAAAGTTTGTCTGCTTGAGTGGGTGGGGGGTGGGGGGTCTCCTTCCTCTGTGTTTACAGTTGAAGGAGGGTGTGGGTGTGGGTGTGGGTAATACTGTTATCATTGACACCCACACCCACACCCACACCCCGCCCTTCTCCAACTAATGACTTTATTATTTGAAAAACATCATCATTTTTCAAAGTAAAAATGTTGTTTGGTAATAAAGACGTACCAAGACTCATGTTGTTGTTGGTTCTAATATTTATATCAAGTGATAATCTAAGTTTACATGATCTAGAATATTCATGATATTTGTTGTATGAGAATTATTTTCATAAAAGAAATTATATTCTTGAAAAGCGTTTGAAATTTTCGATTATAGAATAGTAACAACTGGCGTAAATATTTAAACTAAAGTATATATACAGATTTGATGAAGAATCTTCAAATGTGCAGTGTAAAATGATGCAATCTTATAATTGATCACAATAATGGTCTATTTCTATATATTCACATCGATAGTGCTGCTGTTGTTTTCTTGAAACGAAAACATTTCCAACAAATAAGAGACAGAAAAACGTATTTTTCTGAATGGTTCTTTAGTTATCTAATTACAATTCTAGTTAACTAAAACAAAATATATGTATACATTCCCAAGAGTGTTTATTTTTCATTATAATAACATTGTTTGACAAGCTATTCTTGTGTGTTGATATCATTGTTTGATTTAGTAAATTATGCCAAAAAACCAGCACTATTATGGAATAATAACTTATCTTCAGATGTATTATTTTTAACGGATGAAGAATTTTATGATTTTATTAAAGATCTATTAAGTTATCATAAATCACGCATACTTGAAGTTCAGAAAATCAGTTCCATATCTGTTTTTCTAATGACAGATAATATTTGTGATGCATGAGATTCGATATTGATTGTAAAGAATTGGATGATTTAAAAGCAGATGGAATTTTTTTAGTACGATCTGGCATTTGAAATTCTTTTGATTGTTTTAAAAAGATAATGATTAAATTAACAAAAGATAAACTTAACGAACAGTGAAAACGAAAAGGTCATAATGCATCAACAACAAAAAATATCAATTTAATATCGGTGACAACAAATGCATCACCAGAAACAAATGAACTACTACCATTATCAACATCTGTACCTGTTTCACAAATTTCACTTAATGATCACAAACACTATGTATTAAATTTGTTAAACCAATGGCATTCTCATAATAAAGAAAATCTGAAATTAGATAATATGTATTTTACAGAAGCTGTTGATTTTCGTCTAAATATAGTAAATGTTAATGATGATATAGATGCAACGATATTATGCAACTGTGGAGTATTAACAGAATTACATAAACAAGATGGAAAATCACAATTATCTAATTTTTATAAACATTTAAAGGGTTCTTATTGTTTATATATAAAAGAAAAACAAAGAAATAGTTCAATTAGCACCAGGACAAGCATCAACATCACAAACTATTACTAGTTCTATATCATTAACACAGAAAACTTTCGTCAAACACATCGTTATCGCAATCGAGAACACCTTTAAGTTTAGAACGTTCAACAAAAGCAACAAATATGTTGTCATCGGCTACAAGAAGACGAAAATATATGGCCATAAAAACTCTGTTTTGTTTGTTTTTTCAATTTATTACCAAAGATAGATCATTTCGAGTCATTTCATTTGTCCATTTTATATTATCTGTTTTATTACCCGGCACTGATATTTTAATCTTTTATAAATATCAGAATTTGTTTCGCTTAGGTGTTCAGCATTGTTCTTTAATTTTTATCATATATTATGAGAAAGAGAAATAGCATGATGCTTTTTCTCTTCGAATACACTACTGAAAAAACACTAGTAACACGGGCACTGATACTTGCCCCTCAAACATAAGTTCTACTTTTATTATTTCTTTATAAACCTTTACCGGAATGAAAACATACACCATAAAAACTGATTATATTTCTCCTAATTCTTTAGTGAAAAGATTACCTAAATCCATATAGCAGCAAACACGCACGTCGACAAGTATGGTGGAGTATGTCGAAGAACGACGAAGAACAGAAGTATGCTTTTGCCGCCTTGTGCAATTTTCCAGATTAAGTGCATGCAAAAACTTCTCAAATTTCGGCATACCTAGAACATTTTGAATTGCACTGTTATACAATTATCGAGCTGATGAAAGTTCCAAAAACTTCACCAACTTGATTTTTTCGCAACCCCAACATACCTTGAATTCCAGCAATCAAAATGGCGCAATCGACCGTCATCGGTTTCTTTTTCCATTCACAAAATGCTGACGACAATGCATAATCATTCAGCTCGCCTATACATTGTGTCCATTCCAAACGAAGCATTAAAAACTCAAACATCAATCTTGATCATCCAAACTCAATTTTCTAAGAAACACCGGCAGCATCATACATCACCGTTGATCATCGTTACAATACCCACCATGCATCGAATCTCTTGCCAAACAATTGTCGTACATCGGTACCATATTTCTCGCAGTATCTACTGAGCTATGCCAAACGCATGGACCCAAAAGATGTCACGCCAGCAATTATTATGAGAACCACCAAAAGCCATATAATCAATTCCAACCTGCAAGGTCATTGCGGTAATAGCTCCTGAGAAAGCTTACTAACTTGCAGGCATAATGGATAAGATTCCAAACGCCCTTACACCTTGAGTAATATAGTGAGATAAGAAATCAGATCTAACGGATATAACATCATCAGAAAACCCAAAGCTACCACCTGTAGAAAAAACAAATAATTACCGAGTCCTCCGCAAACAAGCTACCACGCCGCCTCTTCAAAACGACCTCTCCGGCTGTGACTGCGACTCAGCGTTCGCACGCCAGAGAGACTGTGCATATCAATTCCACATTCCTCTCCTACCACACACAATCACAACAATATACACATCCTGAAACTTATAAATAAAAAACCATTCCACACAATCGACATAACTTTAACGTCTCGGTATCCATGCAATGCTGACATCCGTATTTCAACCACATAACGCCGCACCACGCTATACCCCATTTCTTAACTTCCCATGTTTTTTTATTTCGAATCGATTGCCATTCTTAGAATATCCTACATTTATTCATCCACTTCAATATCCTCAACACAACACTTCGTTTCATGTTGGCGAATCCTTGGCATCCGTGATTCAGGCCTGCACTCAGCTATGGGCCCATGCGGATTTTCGGAAATCCTTCCTTAAAAACCATCCTAACTTACAGATTTATTGGAATCGTTAAAATCTACCAGCAACCAAACATGCTCATCATTATTCTCAACAAGCCACCTTGTTTCAACTGAAGGAATCTTTGGATTCCTTGGTTTCCTCTTCGACTCCTATTGTGGCCTAGAAGGATTTTCTGAAATCCTTCGGTTCCAACACTTCGTGGTTCCAGATTTCTTGGAATCCTTAGAATCTCATAGAAAACACCATGCTCTTCATTGTTCTCAATTCCACAGCTTCCTGCAACGCGGGAATCCTTGGAATCCTTGGTTTTCTCTTCAAGTCCTTTTGTAGCCTAGAAGGACTTTCTGAAATCCTTCGGTTGCAGAACTTCCTGCTTCCAGATTTCTTGGAATCCTTGGAATCTGATAGAATACAACATGCTCTTCATTATTCTCAATTCCATAGCTTGTTTGAAGTCGGAGAATCCTTGCTTTTCTCTTAAACACTTATTCTCTCCCAGAAGGATTTTCTGAAATCATTTGGTTGCAGCACTTCCTTGTTTCAGATTTCCCGGAATCCTTGGAATCTGATAGAATAGTACATGCTCTTCATTATTCTCAAGACCGCACGTTGTTTCAACTCAAGGAAGTCTTGGAATCCTTGGTCTTCTCTTCCACTTCTATTGTGACCGAGAAGGATTTTCTGAAATCCTTCGGTTGCAGCACTTCCCGGTTCTAGATTTCTTGGAATCCTTGGAATCTGATAGAGCACAACATGCTCTTCATTATTATCAAGACCGCACGTTGTTTGAAGTCGGGGAAGTCTTGGAATCCTTGGTTTTCTCTTCAACTCCTATTGTGGCCTAGAAGGACTTTCTGAAATCCTTCGGTTGCAGCACTTCCCGGTTTCAGATTTCTTGGAATCCTTGCAATCTGATTGAATACAACATGCTCTTCATGATTCTCAAGACCGCACGTTGTTTGAAGTCGGGGAAGTCTTGGAATATTGAAGGAGATTTCAAGGTTTCCGCTTTGAGGGAAGTCAGCCAGGTCTCCGCCGTGGTCTGTTGTTTCCCTTTCATGGTTTCCCAAGGTTTCCTTAGTTTTAGTATGTGTATAGATTGTGGTTATTTTTATTAATTAATTATGATTTCTAGTTAATTATAAGAAAAGTGTTAATTAATCAGCTGATTTATTAATTAGTTGATGGTGTCCAAAGGCTCAGTTTTTATTGCTTATTCATTTGATTGAAGGTCGAATCTTTGTACTCGATGATTTCCGTTATCGACGACATAGAGATTGCCGTGTCGATCGAATGACAAACCGAAGGGTCCATTGAGTTGGTTCGATTGCTCTCCTTGACCGTTTCCACCAACAATGACACTTCCCTGTGTGACATTTTTGGGCCAACGCATGATTCGATCATTCCCTGCATCAACCACATAGACAGTGCCCAATTGATCGACAACGACTCCTCGAGGAGAATACAATTGTGTCAGACCATTTTCTTCTCCTTGACCACCAGCC